GATAAAGGCTTTACCAAGCCGAAACGTTTGGCTAACAATAAATTTACGGATAATATAAGCAATTATTGAAATCTATAAACCAAATCATAATCCGTACGCAGCATGAATTCTACTTTTTGAGTATAAAATTTCAACTCCTTCTCCACTGAAGGGTTCACAAAAACAATTACCAAAACACTTTCTGTGCATTCATATAACAAAAATGTAGTCCTCTACCATCCAAGACCGATGATTCCTACCGTCACAACTCATCAGTACTAGAGGATTACATGATCGATCTCATCGGAATTCGTTGGATTTCGGCGAGTTCCATATCCATCCAACATGGATTCTATCACAATCTCTTATTCTGAAACTCGTGGGAAGCAGATCTGGCCGATTCGACCGAAATTTTTGCTAATTTCTGACCAAAAAAACGTTCGTAGGCGACGAAAATGAAAGTATCCAGCCGGTGCCTGGTCGATCAATTTATCAGAGAAAAGTTATGTATTTTATTGGAACCGACCAGTGAATTTGACTTGGACCTTATAGTTGTTATTTTTACATTTTGCTGATATCTAACTAATAAACATTGCATGTTCAAAACACTAATGTGATTTTATAATTTTTCATTTTAGAATAAATCATTTTACTATTCCTTACAGATTTACCATCTCGACATGCTTGCAACATATAGAATTAACAAAATATGGAGTGTTTAAAATAGCGCATGTTACTCTTTCAATATGAATAGACACGTTCCTGCTTCTCTCTGTGAGAACAAAAGTGTATCTCTTTACAGAATTAGATAAAATCGACTTGATTTGATAATTTCTGTTTGTTACAGAGAAAAAACTAAAATCGGATGTTAAACACCAGCTTTAAGAGTAGTATAAGGTTTTTAAAATCAGAAGCCTTAGTTTTCCATGGGACTCGTTTTATTTTTTTATAATTTAAGAAGGAAAAATCAAAAACAATAAAAAGTTTTGAGGTTCGAGATACTGTTTCAGATACCTGTGATAAACTTTTGAGGTCGTTCATATAAAATAAAAGAGAAATTGTACCATAACCAGGTTTGAACACACAAAGACATTGCATCAAAACAGTCATCTTTTGTAGAACTCTTGACAAAATGATTCGCATTCTTTCTCTTGTTAACGGTTTTTCTCATTAAACAGTACATTTCTTCTCTTTTTTTAATGTACAATTGCCAACTTACAGAATCGGCTGTTTGTTGTTTATTTGTCTTTATTGTCTGTCAAGCGAGTTCTAACTAATTTTCTCTTTTCTAAATACTAAGTTTCAACCACGTTCTAGTGCTCTCAGTTAGGTTGTTTATTTATTTCGTTCTTCGGTTCACAGCTTTTGTATATGTTCTCCTCGGCTGTTTTCTTGTATGGCGCGGGACATCGCGTTACAGGTCAAAGACCTTTGATGACTTCTCACTTTTGTGAATGAGGTCTTAATCTTTCAAGCAGAGATATCAGCTAAATAAAAAAATGAAGGAAGACAAATTCAGACAAAAGGGAGACTTTTTTCCTACACAGACAACAAGACAAAATACATATTCGTCGTACAATGTCATTGAGAAAACTGAAATCTAAGCATAATAAAAAACTGAAAGTCTATTGGAAACAGTCGGAAGAAAAAGTCCTTGCAAAAGAGAAACACGTAGTAAGACAGATATTTGCGGGGACAAAGGTCGAAATGTGGGACTGTTATTCTTATAAGGCGATATCTGATGGAGTTGCCAGATATCCCCTCTATATATATATTCCTTATATGTGTTGTTTATATATAAACGACACCAGAATTACCAGATGGTCCGCATTTGGCGGACAAATTCCGCTTTTTGTAGTTTTATCCGCAAAGTGTCCGCTTTTCGAGAATTTGTTGTTTTTGTTCTTTTCCCTGCAATGAAGATTTTTACATTTTCTCATAAAAAGCTTGACGCCTTCAGCGACTGAATGATCTGTCAGAACAATGCTTTTGCAACTTTTATAAAACAGATGCGTACTGTGTTAGAAATCAAATCAGAAATTTTCCCCGGAAGTGAGCGGTAACAGGAAAACATTAGCTTGTCTCAAGTGCTGCTGAAAGATAGTGAAATACTAAATCTTCAAGGAAGACAACTCGGCCAGAGAATCTTAACCATTAAATGCTGTTGTAGGTAGGATTGAATTTTATCCTGTCATAGATAACTCTTGAAATTTATGACGGCTGATCAAAAACGCGGATCCACAAAAACCCATAGCGATTCAAATTGGGATTTAAATAATGTACTTCTTTCGTGTTTCTTAAGTGGAACCGCCATAAAGCGCTAGATAAAAAGTTTTTTTATACCCCTTTGTTTTGGTCAAAAATGCCTCCCCGCTTTTATTCCGCATTTGGAAAAAAATCCCGCTTTTTCATCTTTTTATTCCACTTTTCTGACATAAGCATCTGGCAACTCTGAACGACACATATAAGGAAGGCGATTAATGATTTGTTCAGAAATTAGCAAATAAGAAAATGATAGAAGGCCGCTAGGAACAGATGTGTCATGCATAGTACTTTGAGAGATATAAGCACGTCGATAATTTCACATTAAACGACTTTTTCAGCTAACTTGAGTTAATTTTTTTGATAAACTGTTTTGATAAGAGAAAAAATGGTAAAAATTGGATTTCGTGGACTTTTACGTCCGCTTGTTTGATCATGGCTTGCTTGCAAGTTAGGTTGATTGCTCTCAGCTGAGATTTTTACGAGAAGAATCTATAAAATGGGAAAGGATGATGCAAGAAATCGAGTGAGTTTCACGTACTTTTAAAAGGATATGAATACGTAGAATGACTTTTAATTTTGTTTTGCTTTTAACCAATATACCGTTCATAGCTTCTTGTGTTCAAAAAAATAGATTTTACACCGCCTACTTTAGTTTTCATTTAACTAGAATAATTCAATTTCCACCAACTTCTTTTCCTTCAATGTTTTATTTTTTCTAGATAAAAATTTGTATTTATTTCTGTTATTCTTTTTTACTAGTTATTAATAAATAAAACACCAAACAAACACTGTGGATGAGTTCAAGTGTGAGTCAAGTATTAGTTCGACGTTTATATCCATTGTTTTATCGACCATTGTTAACAAGGGTCTCATTACCCACAACCTTTAGCTCATTAAGGTGATAAACTTTCATCCATTCATAATAGATTTAGTAGAAATAACTGCTGAGATCTATATCTACCTCTAAATCGTCACATACATCAAAATATGTTTTTTCTTAGTTTATTTTAGAAGTCAGACTACAGGTACACAACAAAAACATGAAACAATCAACAATACCACAACTACTACTGCAGAACAAACTACGAATCCCACATCATCGTCTCCACCACCTTCGAGTTCCTCCACAACGGCAGCATCAGCTAATGGAAGTGTTGAGGAGTCTTTAGGATCAATCGAACATCAATTGAAGAAAGTAACAGAAGAAAACAAAAAAATAAATGACGATCTTATTGATATGAAAGTAAGATGAATTGAAGCAAAAAAGAAATGACACATAGTTTTCGATTTAATCTTGCCGGATATTCCTCAACGGTCTTATCAATAGTTCAAAAGTATATCTATGCATCAGACATTTCCATGTTTTATTATTGAGTCGCTTAAACGTCTGAAGTCTTTTCTCACTTTCTCTTTAGAAGAGTGCTCCACGTAAAAGATACGCTTTTTTTATTCGACTATACAAGACAATTTCGTTGTTTATCGAGTTTCATTTTAAAAAAATCATATTTTCTATTCTAAAAGTACGTATTATAACTTCTACAAAAAAAAAATCGAAAGCTATGTGTTACTCTTGTTCGTCGATTATTTGATGTTATGTTATTCATTGTTTTCTTTCTAGGACAGATATAAACGTTCATTAGCTGAAACAGAGAATACTCGTATTCGTTATAAAAAATTAGTAGATGATGCAAAAATTTATGGTATACAAGGTTTTTGTAAAGATCTATTAGAAGTAGCTGATATATTAAATTTAGCCATTATTAATACGCCAAAAGATAAAAAAATGAATGATAAAGATTTTGCCAATTTATATCAAGGTTTAACAATGACTGAAGAAAAAATGCAGAAAATATTTACAAAAAATGGTTTAATTCAAATATCGCCTGCAGAAGGTGAAAAATTTAACCCTAATTTTCATGAAGCATTATTTCAAACAAAAATTCCAAATAAAGAAAGTGGTACAATTGTACAAGTAATGAAAAATGGTTATCGACTACACGAAAGGGTAATTCGAGCAGCTCAAGTGGGCGTGGCACAGTAAAAACTTAATTAAATAACCATTATTTTTTGTTTTCTTTTTCATATTTTGTGTTTTGTTTAGAGAAAAAAAACAACAACGGATGATTTCTGTTGCTTATGAAACAGATAGTATCTCGTTGTTTTCAAATTTATAACTGTTGATTTTTTTTTATTATGTCAATTTAGCAAAATAAAGAATAAAATAGAAACCTTGTCTTTAAACTTAGTTTTCGAGTGTGGATAAAATTTCTGAAAAATCGTTTTACTGTATCATTTAGTGCAGAATTGAATGCGAGCAAAAATATGATGTTTTGTAGTATAGGAGGATTTAGATTACGAATAGTTAGTTTTTCAGAGTAGGTATGCAACAGTTTTTTTTTCATGTTTTTCAAAAAAATGATTTGTATTTTCGCAACAACGAACAAGCGTTTTCGATATAACTTTGGCGAGGCGGAGGAAACTTTATGGAGCAACTCTAAAAATTTAGCTGATAACCAAAAAAGAAAAAGATTTTTAACTTTTCGGAGTCATTTTTATTTTAGGAGTAAATTTTTTAAAATGAAGTGAGTCATTTTTTTTCCCCATCTAATCAAAAACGCTGCAATGAACTGTGAAATTTTCTTAAATCAGCAGTTTTGTAGAGCAAACATATCTCTACAATATGGCATATAGTAGATATTTTTAATGTTGCTTGGCTTCTTTAAAAGACGTTTTTGATAGAATAATCCAGCAGTTAAAACTGTGGTTTAAAACAGTGGTTTTTAACTGCTGAGTCATTCTATCAAAAACGTTTTTTAAAGAAACTAAGCAACTTTAAGAATATTTTCTATATACCATCTTGTAGAGATATGTTTGTTCTACAAAACTGCTGATTTCAGAAAATTTCACAGTTCGTTGTTGCGAAAATACAAATCATTTTTTGAAAAATACGAAAAAAAATCTGTTGCATATCTATTGCAATAATAAGAGCAAACGACTTTTCCTGTATGTATGTATTCATGAAAAGTGAGAGTCGTCAGTAACGATGACTCAACGCAATAAAATTGAGTAACGACAATTAGACAAAAGAAAACCAGAATAATGGACAGAGACAGATCAAGTAAACAAATGAAAACAAAGTAAAGAAAAAGAAAAAGAAGAAAATAGAAAATCAAAACACGAAAAATACTAGCACGGGTATGGATTGACTAGAAATATGACTAAACTTTACTGTAAGAGAATTTTAGATTGTAACTTTTAATATTGCGATAGTTTTTTACTTACACTCTTGTAGTCAAAATCTTATTGAATTTTCTAAGTTTTGATCTCTGTTGCGCAGAAAGTGTTTCTGACATTGTTGTAAGTAGTTATATAGTTATAAACGTAAGATATTCAGATAATTATTTGATGCAAATATCTTATCGGTATTGAGTGACTTGATCAGTCGGTAATTTAACGCAAATCAATTGTGCTTAAATGTTATCGTGTAGATGACTAATCACAGTTGATGTTTTTGATACATAGTTCAGTAACTTCTTTCTCAACTATATTACGAACCAATATATACGTAGAATATTTTTACAAATAATTCGATGATAAAAGCAGAGCAATCTTGAAGATTGCGCTTGTAATAAAGACTAAAAATCAACTTTTCCAAGACTTGAGCTTTTCTGTAACAAAAAATGTATATATCTATCCGTTTCCAACGTTCAATACTAGACTTTACATCTTTCTGAATGTATAAACTGTCTATCTTTTCATTTTACTTTCTTATTTCTGTTATACGTTTAGACCTTTTAGGCTTTTACTCTTTATACAGTCAACGGATGATTAACCGCAGTTTTGTACCCTACAAAAAGACTAAATGGCATATTCAGTTAGCTATACTATATCTATCACAGCTAAAAAGATCTCGGAACAAATCTTATACCTTTTCACATCTCTGCAGTGCAATATTTTACTAAAACCTTCTAAATCTTTAAGTCAATACTATTTTGTTATATGACTAAAACGAAGAAAAAGATTTACAGTTTTCATCTATCGATAACCAGTGATTAGTGAGAAATTTTTGTTATATATTTTTTCTGCTTTTGAAGTCTCCAAATACTAGTGGTTAACATTCACTGTCACCAAATTAATATGACTGACATTCTGAACATGATCAAAGATTCTTGACTGATTGCTTTGTTTATTTTCCAGTTAATAGCAATCATGGAAACAGATGGTTACTCTCATTTTATATAGTGTTTTTTCGAGATTGGAAAAAGAGAAAAATAGGTTTTATTTTTAGTTTTTTTCAAATAGTTCATTGTCAGATTAATACATCCTTTTACTAAATTGATCCCGTGATTCATACACTCACGCCTTTTTCTGATATGTTGAAAGCAAAAGTTTTTTTTTTAGATAAAGAACAGGAGAAAGAACATCCGACTTTTTTTCTAATACTTATTATACATGCATGCATAAGATTATTTTTTTCTTTTTTTTTTGAAAAAAAATTCGTCTTGACAATTACAAAAACAAATGTATGAGAACCTATAGAAGTCAAATCAAAAACTACATTATACAATTTACACGTCGATCTTACTTTTTCGAAAACATTTATCTCTATTTTTCAAAAGACGTAAGCAAGTTGAAGGCTTTGTCATTGAGATTCTTGAAGTAGTAAGCCGCAGAGCTCGAAAACGGCTCAGTTTTTTACCCGTCTGTCCGGTTCAGTCTCGATCTGCAGAAGATGGACCGGGCCAAGAAAATAAAATCCATGATGGAACGAGTCGGGTCGGACTAAAATAAGAAATAACTCTGCTAATGATAGAATTATTTATTTTTATTTCTCACTGTTTTGTTCTCAAGAGTATCGTTAATAATAATTGTCATATTTCAATTGTTTCTACTTCTAACAAGAAAAATTCATCTAAAGACATTCTAGTATAATTCTACTTAGATCGAAAACTTATCGGAATTCAATAACAATTTGGAAGACTTTATCGTTATAAAGAATGAACAAAAGGACTTTCAATATTTGGAATCTGTTTGATTTTTCAGTTAAATATTGATTAAATGATACATATCAACGTATCAACTATGCAAGACAGATTGAAGGAAAGTAACGGTCTGACAAACGAACGGATAAGAATGAACGAGGTCTAGACTAAGTGAAGTGCCCTAAGTTGACAACTTAGAATATTTCATCTTGCCTAGGACACATACACCGTCAATTAGTTTATTGTACAGATCGAAAATAAAAGTATGTTCTGTACAAATATGATTTAGCAGTATAAAGCACAAAATCAAATTAGTGTTCTAAGAAAAGAGTGCCAAGAAGATGAGAAATTTATACTTTATATATTCTATCTGCCAGTTTTTAAGATCACATTAAATTTTTACAGTGATAGAAAGAGAAATTACAGACTTTTCTCGAAAAACCTATGTGCACCATTTAAGTGAATGTTTTGATCTAATAACGGATGCTTCTTCTCGTGCTTTACTAGAAAAAAAGTTACAATAAATAGCGATTCATCAGTGGTGTGAAGAGTAACTAAAAATTCTATGCAGATGTATTAACTGATCTCACTGTGTCACTTATTCAAAAATGTAAATCTACATAGTCCATCTTTGTATGGGACGCTGATTTTCTGTGTATTTCGACAAAAAAAAGATGTCTGACTTTTTGAGAATATAAATAAAACTACTTGTTGTAGTTATAATATACGTTTGCAATGCTTAATTTTATATACAAAAATAATATTATTAAATGGATTGTATGAATGAATGTATCTTACGTAAAATCAGATGGATTGAAATGTGCGTCATTGTTAGCTAAAAAAAAATCATCATTATTTACGTACTTATCTGATAAATCATAATGAGTAATGACACTTTTTTTATTCTAGATCGTTCTTCCTTCCATGTATGAGTTCATTTTCGGCTAATAACATCCGACTAGTAAATACGTTTTTTTACATATGAAAAAAACAAAATTTAGTTTTCTACAATTTATTTTAAATTTTAGGCCGAGTCGTATATGAACATTTCAAAATTTGCCCAACTTGATAACGATCGTGTCCAAAGTTTGGGCAAGTTTAAATATGTCTAATTTTAGAAAAAAGATGTTATATGTACTAAAATATCCGTGTTTATTCGAAGTTCTGTTTTAATCTTTTTTAAGTTGTCTAGTTAAGTTCATTTTCTTTATTTTAGCTGGCACTGGAATCGTTAAACTGATAATTTGATGGCAGTACATTGTGGTGGCAAAAAACAAAAAGTCTCACATATTAATTCAAATTCAAACAGTAATCATCAACAACAGAATAAACTTTTTTCAAATGGTATCGATTCAAACTCAACTTCAACATCTTCATTATCTTCAAATACCCAAAATTTTCATTCCCGTTCGTCTCAACAACAAAAACATAACAATTCAATAAATCATTTGAATACTAATCATAGTACATCTCATTCAAATCATCATCATCATCGACAACGATCACAATCACAATTTAATCATCATTCAAATCACATACCCTCGTCAATAACAACAACTACTGCCACAGTGTCTATAATGCCACACGATCTATCACGAAATCCAGCCAATAGTGCATCTTCATCCGCATTATCATACACATTTTCAAATCCACAAGCAACAAATTCTAATAATAGTAATCATCATTATCATCATAAAATGAAAAATCGACATTCGACTAATCACGATGTAAGTAAATCAAATATATTTGGTAAAATCGTTCATTTATGTTTATAAAAATGTTTAGGTTGACGGTATGGATGAAGATGAAATCGATGATGATGAAATGGAAGATGGTCACGATAGTACATCTTCATCAAAATTAAATAATCATAACGTCTCAAAACGTGTTGCAACAACGAAGTCTTCTTCATCTTCAACGAATCAAACTCAGCAACAACAACAACAAGCGAGTATTATTCATGCTGATATGATTTATTATTGTTTTGATATATTAGGAAATTATTTATTTAAAAAGGATTTTTTATTTTCATCGTTACCATCCTCCTCATCTTCGTCATCATCATCCAAGAGTGGTAGTAATACATCAACCACAATTAGTTTTAATATTCCACACGATGTTCATTATCCATTATTTGTTACATGGCTTATTGGTCCAGAAAAAAAATTACGTGGATGTATCGGTACATTTACACCAATGAATTTGTTACAAGGTTTGAAAGAATATGCTCTAACATCAGCTACAAATGATAGTCGATTTAATCCCATAACACGAGATGAATATGGTCAATTACATTGTGCTGTCAGTATATTGACAAATTTTGAGGTCGCTTATGATTATCTAGGTATGTAGAATAATTTAAAATGAATATCTTTTTTAAAAAAAAAATATTTATTTTATTTTTTGTTAAGACTGGGAAATTGGTAAACATGGTATACGCATTGAATTTTTAAATGAACGTGGTTCGAAACGTAGTGCCACCTATTTACCTGAAGTAGCTCATGAACAAGGATGGAATCATATTCAAACATTAGATTCATTATTACGTAAAGGTGGTTATAAAGCAACAATAACAAATGATTTACGAAAATCTGTTCAGGTTACACGTTATAGAAGTGAAAAATTAACATTACATTATAATGATTATGTTCAAAATCGACAAACTCTAATTGAAACAACGACAACAACTGTAACAACAACAATTGAAAGACGAACAACATCATTATTAGGGAATTATACAACAAGACAACAACAATTCTAGAAGATGATTTGTATGTGTACGTATGTATGTATGTTTTAATCAAGATTCATTTGTTTGTTGATTCGAAAACCAGAGTTACTTTCATTTTTATATTGGACATCATTTTTCTCAACATAAAATGACAATTTTTTATCCTTGATCCAAATCAAACAGGAAACAAACTAGAAAACAACTGATATTTAGCTCAAAAGAGATTATTGACGTTTCTTGCTCAAAACATTTTCATCCCATTCTTTTATTCGGTATGTTGATCAAAATTTCTTTCTCAAACTGTTATTATCCCTAATAGTAAAATAAAAAAAATGCATTCTAAACTTGGTGAGTTATATCCTTCGATGAAACCTTTTAGACAGAAATTTGGTTGTTGTCGACCTTGACAGTATTCTCTTTTGTCTGTGAACTGTTTTGTTTTTGTATTGGTTCATTAACGGTTCGTTTTCGCTTATATATCATTTTTAATGCTCTACTACCAATCATATTATATTTTTTGTTCTAATTTGTAACTGTTCACGTTAGTTTTTTCTGTATCTCGTCAATCGCACTTGAACAATTTCTCTTTTTTTTTTTTTTTTTGGTTATTCACTTTATTCCCTCTATGCATCGATGTTTTTTTTTGATTCTGTGGTGGCGCTTAAAAATATCGGTTGTTTTTTTTTTGAAAAAAAAAGAAGAGAAACATGAGTGTGCATTTTTTTTCTATTGTCTATATTCTACTTTCGATGTACTAGTGTATACTGTACTTTTTGCTTGTTATCATCTTCAGTTGATAAAGCCTGCTTTTTTCGTTCTGGTGCTTTTTAAAAATTGAAATTTCAGCATATCTTGTCTTGGTTTTTATCTATTAACCAACTTAACTTTGTTTTCTAGTAAAAAAACACAATCGTGTTTTGTTATCTCTGTTTTTAGTCTACTGTCCTCTTTTTGTTTATTTGTTTCCATGCTATACTCAGGTATGGTGTTATTTTTCTCGTGTTATTCTTTGTTAAGTCTTTGTGTAAGATTTTGTTTTTGTATAATCTATATTGTACAAAGTTTTTATTTGCAAAAAGACAAGTCAAAACGGTTTGTTCCCTCATTTAGTCTCGTATTTTGGTTAGTAGTAGCAGATGAACCCGCATTAGATTTTAATCATTACCTGAGAGTACTATTTGCTTTTCTTAAGGTCACTGTTGCCCTTATTGTTTTCTTTCTTATACTTTCTTCTTTTTTTTTTCTTGGTCATATATAAAGTTATGTTTTCTTCTATTGTGAACTTGATTCTTATTCTTTTGCTCTGTATAATTACATATACACACATGCATGTATTGCTTTATCTATACATTCTTCTTTTTCTATCTTGTATATGAATTTTACAGTGATAAGCAATAAAAAATTTAAAAAATATTTAGTTCAAGAATGACTGTTAACAATGGCATGGCGATACTTTTCTAATTTAATTGCCTAGTGAAGGAATGCCTCGTTTCATTTTTCAATGAATCCAGTAAAAATCGAATTTGGAAATCAGAAAAATCTATAGAGTATAATATTCTGCTCTATTTATGTAACAGAAACACTTTAAATGTTTACAAGGTTATTCGTCAAAAAGATATTTTTAACTCTATCCAAAAAAGACTCTCAAAATCAAATCGAAAAAATGTCTGAATTCGAAAAATGCATTTTGGTTTGTTTTGAAAAATATACTGTGCAAATGAAAGATCCCTATGAAAAAAACAGAATAATTTAACTATTCGTTAGTAATAATTTGTGCTTTCAGCTATAAATCAATAGTCAAGAAAGTTCATAAACCATATGAGAAAAGCGATAGTACCTCTGTCATACATTTTAAAAGTAAACAGATGAGGACGAATCTTCTGCTATGTATCCAATTTTATCATGTCATATTTATTTTGCTTTATAATGCGCTGGTATTAGCAGCGCGTTCTTGAGAAAGTATCAAATGGCTTGCATATGATGTGCTATTTGATTTATTCCAATTGACTATTGTGACTTATATAAAAAAAGAACGACATAACAAAATGGTGATTGTATGTATTATTTTTCGTACCAATTAAAAGAGAAAGAAAAGAAAAAAATGAGCTAAACACTTTCTTGATTTGAATATAGATATATAGAGAACGGCTATATATATCACTGATCTCTCCAGCCTATGTACTACTATATATATGATCTTAGAGACAAACACTCACAACATAATTAACTTGCTTCAAGTGATAGTATAATATGTTTTGTTGCTAATAATTTTTGAATTTGTGAACAGACAAGAAATCGAGTGAAGATTTTCTATAGATAGTTAAAGGATTTGAAAATTAGGTATTTGTTTAACAAATTTTGTCTAAAATAGTGCTAAATCTCTTTGCAATTGGTATTTCAGTTCTTGCTACGGAATCTTTCATCTATTCAAAGATTTCTCTTGCTAGTCGTTTGTGACATATCGTTAGTACATTCACAATGACAGATGGCGCACTCTTCAGAATTCTTGTTGTTTTTTCCTCATAACAATTTGAACAAACCTCGTAGATGAGTAGAAAATTAGAATAAAACTTTCTCTTTATTATTTTTTATTGAAAAAGATTTCATATTAAAATGTTTCCCCAGAGTCCTCTATCTTAGTTTAAATGAGATATCATGTAACATCTGTATATGAATTTATTGTGAAGTAATAATTCTTTACGTATTTCTGTTCTGTTCTATAATTGCGATTTAATTCATAGGATTATCTCAATTTACAATGTTCAGTTTCCATGTATGTCTATAATCGCATGCGAAAATTAAGATAAGAATAAATATTAAAAATTGAGTTAATGAAAAGAACAGTTACGACGTCATCACTCACACACACACACATACACATAAATATATATATATATATATATATACAGAAAAAGTAAATCAGTACAGAAAATATTTCTCATATATTAAATGTAGAATTTATGAGAATAATTTAAGATGGTAACTATGCTAAAGTGTTCAATATATTACCCTCGAGTCTATACCCTACTTTTTTTTTCTACTTTTTTTTTTTTTTCTTCTTTTTATTTTTCATCGTTGTTCCTTAATTGTTTCATTCATTCATTCCATACAACAGCGAGACGTTTCTTAACCGATTCTTCTTCGTTATATATATATATATTTTTTTTCTCTAAAAAAAAAATTTGTTACATATGAAAAACTGGTTTTTATTGAACATAATAATTAAAAATAATTCTAGTAAACTATGGGTATACGAAATATACTCTACCGTTCAACACTTATAGTTAAATCGCTTTTAGTCCCAATTGCATTGAATGATGATCGTTTAAAATTTTTATTTAAATCAGCATCTCTTATTCAAATAGGAATGGGTCAAAAAGGTAAAAATGATAAAATTTAGCTGTTTATAAATATATATAAAACATGGGGGTTATAGATGAAAAAAATATCACCATTATTTATTTACATCACGTTTTAATAAATAACTTTTATCCATTGTGTGACTTATTGAAAAACTTTTTAGAATATATTTTAAGATTTTTGAGTATTTTATTTATCGATTGAATTTGTGTTTGTAATTGTCGTGTATTGTCATTGTCACGATTGAAATTTATTTCAAGAAGCATTTGCATGACTTTCTTCTTCTTCTTCTTCTTCTTCTTCATCTCTGTCATGTATGATATATGTGCTCTACAATTTTAGTTATATTTATTGATTTACTTGAGATTTTTTTTTTGAAATCTTTCACCTTATCTTTTTGGGTGTTTTTATTATAGTAATACACGTGTTGATGTGTTTCGACATTTCTCTTTTCTACCTTTGTGGTAATATTATAATACACATTTTATAAACCATTTTTCTTTTTATTATATTTTAGAATCTATGTCACCACCACCGCCATTTGATTCGGACCCTTTTGATTGTTTGAAAAGAAATTTTACCGAAGATGAATTGGAAAAATGTTTTCGTCATTTTGATTCTTCAAAGTAACTATCCATCTAAAATTTGTTTAATTTCTTCATAGTATTTTACATTTTGTTCTATATTTTATTTAGTCAAGGAACATGGTCTCATGATGATTTTAGACGTTTCCTTAGTGAATTATTTTCAAATAAACGACGACCCTATCTTCTTTTAACTGAACTTGTTGAACAATATTTTCAAGAAACCGATTTTAATCAAGTAATAATTATTATAATAAAAAAAAAAAAAATTTTTAATTTGTTTTATTGTTTATTAACTCTTTTTTTTTCTAGGACAATCGAATTGATTTTAATGAATTTCAGCAAGCATGGAAAGAAACATTAAAAACAACATTAAAACCTGTTAGTGCATTGGTTATTGTCGATGTTCAAAATGATTTTATAAGTGGTTCATTAGCTTTGCATTCATGTCCAGCAAATCATCAAGGTAAATCAATTTTATTTTTTTTCTATGTCAAATAGGGGTTATAGTTCCTAAGAACTGATCACTAGTTCAATTCCTGTTGAACGAGAACTGATTATCAGTTCTTTTCAAGAATTCAAAATAAAATAAAACTGATATAGCTAATTATATTGACTTGGTTTAGTCAACTAAACACACCGTCTACCTTTGACGCACTACACAAGTCAATGTAAGTAGGTTCACCGATTTTATTTCAATTTTAATTTTTTAAAAGAACTGAACTGGAACACTGTCCCATTCCTAATGTCAAATATAAATTGAATTAACGACTGGACTATTTTTCTTGTTTATCTAAATAATTCTATATAATTTTTATATTATATTTTTATAGGTGAAGAAGTTGTTCCCATTATTAATCGTGTATTAACAAATGTTCGATTTGACGTTGTTGCCTATACATACGATTGGCATCCGCATAATCATATATCATTTTATGAGAATCGATATTTACGACCAACAGCTCCCGAAAGTAAAGTAAGCTTCGTCATAATGGGTTTTTTTTTCTGATTTTTTTTTTAATAATATTTCTTTTCTTTTTTTTTCTACGTAGATCAATGCAGCCGATGCAAAACTTCTCGATTCTGTTATATTTGTTGGTCCACCTAAAGTTGAACAAGTTCTTTGGCCAGCTCATTGTGTACAGCATACGCGTGGTGCTGATTTACATAAAGATTTGATTGTATGAATAAAAAGAAATTATTTAATAATAATAATTTATCTATTTTTTGCTCTATTTTAGTTAGTCAGTAATGCCATTCATGTATTTAAAGGAGCAAATCCTAATGTTGATTCATATTCAGCATTTTGGGATAATATGAAATTAGCTAAAACAAGTTTAGATGATCAATTAAGAGAACGAAATGTAACTGATGTCTATGTTGTTGGACTTGCAACAGATGTTTGTGTTGGTATGTCATAGTGAACAATCTTCATTGATATTAGACTATTTTAATCTTTTTTTTATTTCAGCTGCAACTGCCATGCATTCAATTGAAAACAATTATCGTACAATATTGATCGAAGATGCATGTCGAGGCGTAGATGAAAAAGAAATTGAAGTTAAAAGACTTGAATTAAATAGACATGGATGTATATTTGTTGAATCAACTGTGGTATGTTTCACTTTCTTGACATTTTAAGAACAAAAAAAAAAACAAAAGAAAATATTAGAAAAAATATTTTTTTGTGATATTTTTTATAGGTACCAGGAATGGTCGATGGTATTGATCGTCGACCCGAATTAACTCGCAATATGTTTGAAGAAAATTTAAAGAAAATTCGTTTGAAGTAAAATTTATTTTATCTATTTATAAACGATTCAAGTAGTATTTCTAGATTTTTCTTTTTTTTCTCTATGTGCATACACATCCTATCTAGTCATTTTCTTCTTTTTTTTTTTTTTGTTTTTAAATTTTATTTCTAAGTGCCTTTTGACGGTTCGTTTTTTTTTTTTTGTTTTTTATTTCTCTTTCGATTTCCTGCTTATTGTCAATTTTCAAAATATTTTTTAAAATCAATAATCTTGCACCTAGCAACAAACACACACACGCTTCATTGTATTTTCACATATATTGTATGTGCCTGTCTGTGCGTACAGTGACATAAAATGAATTGTATGGCCTTTGTTTTTCTCAGTTTGTATTGACTGAAATGATTTAACCATTCTCTTATTTTCCGAACATCTAAGTCACAACTTTGTATTTAAACAAAACAAAAAACATTACCCGAAATCGCCTTGTTGGCTTCATTTTCTCTCTCTCTCTCTCTCTTTCTAATATTAATCTGATAATAAAACATTCTTCTAAGTTTGCATTTAAGAACAAGTAACTACGTAACTATTTGATAAAATTTCTACGATATTTTTCTATTTATAAGATGTCTGTTTTCTTTTTTTTTTATTGATAATTTTATTTTTTGTTGTTGTTATTGTAGTTGTTGTTGTTGTTGTTGTGTATTTATGTGTATCTGTATTATTAACACAAATATTGTACGTATCCCATTCATTTTTTTCTGGTTTTTTCGTAAAAAAATATGTATTTTAGTTTTCTGTTGTTTATTATGTCTCTCAGTTCACATTTCTATCGCAAAAATTCTTACGCAACATAGATCTGATGAAGTAATATTTTTTAGTCATTGGTATATTTCCTCCTTTTTTTTTTGAATGATAAATGTTTTTGTTTTGTTTTTTGTTTTCTTTGTGGTAGACAAATGATAATCTCAATTTTATTACATACATACACTCTATTTTCAATATAAATTATTTTTTGTGGCGGCTTTTTTTTTTTTTGGAAAAATCGCTTATATTCACGCACTCACATTTTTATTTTTTAAATTCAGTTATTGCTCTTTTGTTTCTTTTTTTCTTTTTCTTTTTTCTAATGAAGCAAATTATTTTATGTCCATTTATATTTTACAACAAATATTTTTTGTTTCTATAATGAATAAATATATAAATTTTCATTTTTAAAAAAAGAAAAAATGTTTGTATACAACATTAAATTTACAACAACAAAGAGAAACGAAGAAGAAGAAGAAAAAAAAATAACAGACATTGACAGGCGAATTTAAAGAATAATAGAAATAAACTGATGTTGAACATCCTGTTTCAAAATTTAAATTCTTCAACGTTCACTTCCGATTTTAAGTAGTTATAAGTCGACATACCCTTTTTTTTTTTCTTTTTATTATTATTCTTTTTTTTTTGTAAATTTTTCAGTTTTACATCCACTAAATAAAAAAAATAGTTCCTCTTCAATTTAATTTTATATTCAAAAATTTCATTGTACAATTTACTTCATTGTACATATAAACTAAAAAATAAAACAACAAACAAATTATATAATCATTTCTATTATCCCTAAAAATGAATTAAACAAACTTTTATTATTATTATTATTATTAGAAAATGATTTGATAAAAAAAAAACATAAAATTAAAAAAAAAAAAAAAAAAAATAAAAAAAATAAAACAAAAAAAACAAAAAAAAAAAATTTTTAA